GAAACAGCCTAGCGCAACTCAGCTTTAGGAGGCCTGGGTTTGAGCCTCCCTTCACCCGTGAAATTCCTGCCCTTTTCCCTCTATGGGTACCTCTCCTGTAAATGAGGGGATTGGCTTAAACAATTTATAGTCTTTATGGCTAAGATAGTCTAAAATTCTTTTGCTCCCCTCCAGTATAAAAGGGAAATTATTTTTTGTTAAGAGTGGCCTGGCCTTGTTCCCTCAGTGGTTTACTGGCCATCTCCAAGAATTAATTCTACTTATTCTGGTTAGCTTGGTGGCCAGAGTTCTGTGCTAATAAGGCTGCGGTTGAAGGCTTGGGCCATGTATGAAGTGATGCGTTCTGCAGAGAGGAAGCCTGTGTTCCCTGAGGCACAGAGAACACCCCTAACCCTGGTTCTGGACAACCATCTTCCATTGATGAACACTGAGCCCATCCCCCTCCACAGGATAAAGTCATCACTAGTTGCATTATGTTGAAGGTGTGACCAGTGTAGCTATAGTTGCTCATTTAATCATTCAATGACCAATCATTCACTAAACACCTACTGTGTTACCAGCTCTACCTAAGGGATCTTGATCTTCATTATAATATTTAATAGTATATATGTATATGATAATCTATATGTGATGTACATTATATGTATTGTGATGTTTTATAAGTGATGTGTAATAATATACATGTGATAATCTACATGTGATCTATAATATTATATACACATGATATATGCTATTATAATAGTCATTTAATGAACAGCTTTTTGTTGAGTGAATGAACAGCTGTGACTTCACTGGGCACACCCTCAGCATAACCCAGTTGGTAATGACTTTGCCTGCAGGGGATTCAGTCTTACCCTGTAGGATTCTGGTCCATGTGGAGAGCTCAGCTGTGGCCTCATTAGCACCACTCTTATAGAAACCAGGTCTCCCAGCTTTGGGCCAGGTACTGGGGAATTGCAAAGGTTAGAGAAGACAAGATCCCTGCCTTCGTGGAGCTTGCAAACCTATGGAGCTAAATAGAATCATGGGATTAAAAGTTAGGATGGAGTTTTGAGAAAATTTAGTCCAACATCCTCATTTTTCAAAGGCTAAGTGAGTCGCCTACGGACAAGTAATAAGTAACAGAGCTGAGCTTCCAAGGTAAATCTAATCCCCCATCCCAAGCTCTTTCCATTCTGCCTCTCATAACCAAAGCAGGTATTTACTCTGGGTCTGGGGGTTTCTGACACGTGTGACGAGCCCTCCTGAACTTTTCATCACTCAGCTGAAAGCCCCTTAAAGGTCCCCTTGGAGCAGACTAGAAGGAGACAAGGAAAGCAAAGGACAGACTCAGCTGATGCTAAGGCTGCAGGCTCCCCTTCGTGTGCTAAGAGCAGCTGAGGTTAACCGAGGGTGCAAGGGGCCAAGTGGATATGTTAGGAGTGAAGGGGGAGCTTTCCCAAGCCCCTCCCCAGTGACACACATTCCTCCAGCATCCAAAGGCTCGGTGCTGAATAATGAGGGAGCTCAGATAATAGGGGACATGGAAAAGGCTGTACTGCAGCCGGCTGCCTTTGAGCCCCGATACAAAAAGAGAGAGAGAGGAGGCGGCAGACTGGGCAGGCTGGGCAGTGAGCGAGATCAGTGCTGAACGAGGAGATGGCCGTGGGAAGGGGGAGGGGGGAAGGACAGACACGTAAAAAGGTGTTTCTCCAGGCTCCGCACCCCACAGAATGTCTTTGGGCTGGCAGGTTGAGGCATCATCCATCCTTTCTGTTCTGGGCTTGGGAGAATGTGGTCACCTCCAGTTTCCAGACTTAGACTCCAAAAGAGTGTAGTAGAAAGCATGTCTGAGGCGAAATTAGATTTCCCCTTCGGAAAGCACTTGACCCATATTAGTTGAGACTCCCACTGGGTGAGTGGTAGCAGCTGGAAAGAGCTCAAGATGTGAATATAGGTTCACATCCTATCTCTGGTACTCTCCAGCTGTATGACCCTGGGGAAGGAAGTCCCTTCCCTGCTCTGATCTTCCTTTTTTTTTTTCCCCTTCTCCACAAAGCTGCCAAAATAATCTTCCTTAGCTCCATTTTCATGATGCCACTCTCTTTCTCAAGGATCTTCAGGGGCTCCCAAATGCCTTTAGGATAAAATACAGATTCCTTGAGTTCTCCCTTGAAAGCCTCGCAGTCTGATTCCAGCCTCTCTGTTCCAGGTTTATCTCATATTTCTGCAGCCATACTGGCCTGACCACCATTCCCCAAGCCCAGCAATCCATCTCCCGTGCCCTTTTATAGGCTGGGCTCCACACCTGGAATGTGCACCCTCATTTTTTCCACCTCCTAATACCCCGGGTTCTTCCAAGGTTCAACCCAGGTGCCACCTATTAGGAGAACACTTTCCTGATTCACTTACGTGTTGCTGCCCTCTCCCACCCCCAAATTCTATTGTACCCACAGAGCTGTTTAGATGTTGTCTCTCCCCATCCAGGAGAGCAAAGCCTCCTTAAAGGCAAGGACTCACTGGTTCTGTCTTTGTGTTCCCAGGATTTAGGGAGGTGTCTTGTGAAGAGTAAGAACTGAATAAATATGTGTTTAGTTTATTTGAACATATATCTTCACTGCAGAATAATTATAATAGCTAGCATTTATTTAGCACTTGAGGTCTGCAAAGAGCTTTATCTGCGTTGTCTGGTTTGGTCCTCAAAATAACCCTGGGAGGGAGGTGATGTTATTCACCCCATTTTAAAGATGAGGAAACTGAGGCAGACAGTGGTGAAGAGTCTTCCTTCTCCGGGGTCACACAGCTACTTAAATTTATGAGGCAGGATTTGAACTCAGGTCTATCTGACTCCAAGTCTTTCCACACCAGAACATCACAGTTGGAGGGGATCTCAAAAATCATCAAGTTCAATCCAGAATAGGGGAAAAATAGTGCCTTTTACAGCAAACCAGAGAAGTGACCACCATCACCCCACTATTAAAGAGGAGCCCATTACCTCAGAATACAGTCCATTCCACTTTGGGGTAGCTATAATCTTCCTAAAATTGCTGAATTATCTTACAGATCAAAATCGATAATACAGGGTATCCCAAAAGTCAGTGAAGTTTTAAACACTGTAGCTTCAATCTGCACTAAGACTTTTGGGACATCTTATATACATAAAACATTTTTATAGAAAGGTATATAAACATCCACTATTATTAGTAGACTACATATGACATGATAACTACCAGTGATTATTAATGATGATCATTAGTATTAGTAATATTAATAATTAAGCATATAAAGACTCCTATTCCTTTCATCCCCTGGTCCAAAGGCAGTGCCCATAGCAGTAGGGCACCCATGAGCATGTTGGGTGGGAATGCTTGAATGTTGGGGTGAAGAGGGGTCAGGTCGTAGGATCAGCTGTGGGAGGACTGGGGAGAAAAGTAAAGAGTTACTTGGAATTCGAGGCCAGCTGATCTAGCCTGGATCCTGAGCAATTATATTACAACAAATCGGGGCGGATGAGTAAGCACTTTTGAGAGAGGAATGCAATATACGGTGGACCCCAGAGACGTCATAAAAATTCAGTAGTCATGTCAAACTAACTCTAAACTGTATTTGTTTGGTTATAATAAGAATGGAAGGGGCGGGAAGGTGGGAAATAGAGGTACACCTCTGTTAATAATGCACTGAATGTAGCCTGGTCACTCCAGATGGGACTTCCCAGTAGGCAGCCTCCTCCCCGTGAAGAACCAGTGCAGGCTCCTCCTTCTCCTGAGTCTTTTGCAATGTATGGGAAGCATGAGTCATCCAGCAAGAATCAAAGATTTAGAGTTGAAAGGGACCCTAGAAGCTGAGTTCAACCTTCACTCCTACCCTCCCATTTTACAGACAAGAAAACTGAGACCCCAGAGGTTAAGTGGCTTTACCAAGGTTACACATAGCAGCATAGATTTAGAGCTGAGAAAGGACCTCAAAAACCACTAAGTCCACCACCCCCTCCCATTTTAATCATAATTTCTAGCTAGTTGGCACAGTGGACAGACCACTGGCCCTGGAGTCAGGAGGTCCTGAGTTCAAATCCGGCCTCAGACACAGAACACTCACTAGCTGTGTGACCCTGGGTAAGTCACTTAACCCCAATTGCCTCACCAAAATAAAACCAAAACAAACAAACAAACAAACATAATTTCCAACATTTATAGAGCTTTGCAAATCATTTTACAAATATTATGTGAGCCTCACAACAACCCTGGGAGGGTAGGTGGTATTATTATCCCCATTTTGGAGAAATTGAGGCAGACAGGGTGACTTGCCCAAGGTCACACAGCTAGTAAGCATCTGAATAAGGATTTGAACCCAGGTCTTTCTGACTTCAGGCCCAACTAGCTGGTGCATTTTTCAGTGGAGGAAACTAAGGTTAAAGATGTTGAAGAATTTGTCTAAGGGTACATATGGGATCATAGATTTAAGAAATGTGTAGTGCCTGGGACCTTTTCTATTTGGTGACTCAAACCTCTAATTTCATTGGTATGTGGGCATCCTTATGAGGGAGCTCCCTCTACCAACCCAGATCAATCAATTAGTCAATAAACACTTATTAAGCACCTACTGTGTGCCAGGCCCTGTGCTAGGTGCTGGGGACAAAAAGAGAGGCAAAAAAATAGTCCTTGTCCTCAAGGAGCGTACAGTCTAACAAGTGAGTTAGCACGCACACAACCACGTACAAACGAGCTGCGCGCAGAATAAATTGGACATAATCAACAGGAGGGAGGCGTTAGAATTAAGGGGCAGCCAGGAAAGACCTCCTGTAGAATGTGAACTTGAAGCAGGCCCGGGAAGCCAGGAAATGAGGAGGGAGAGAATTCCAGGCACGAGGGACAACCAGTGAAAATGTCTGGAGTTGAGAGATGGAGTATTCGTCTCTGTAATTTACAATCTTAGAGAGCTGCCTGGGGTATAGCAGGTGCACAGCAAATATTTGCTGATTGATTACCTCATACTCAACGTGTATTTTGTTGATCTCGTTGCAGAGGCCAGGGGCCATGGCAGCATCTGCCAGCTGCTTTTCCCCAGTGCTTCTCCTCTGGATCCTGGTCCTCACAGGCCCAAGCTTCACGGGAGCTCTGGAGTCTGCTCCTAAGGAAAGCAACGTCCCAGAGAATAACATCAATCAGCAGAGCCCAGAGCTGTGGCAGCCCCGGGCCCGGCACACGAGGAAGCATGGACTGAGCAAGAAGGGCAGGGCCCACCTGCCAGACCAAACCGGCGCCTCCAGGCTGCCGGGGATGCTCCCTGGTGGAGAGGGGATGCTGGCCGTCCAGGGCCCCGCTGGCCTGTTGCAGGATAAGGATGTGTTTCTGGGCTTTGAGTTCCCCTACCCTGACAGGGACAATCAGTTTGAAAGAGGGAGGAAACACGCCAGAGAGCAGAAGCGGCGGAGGGACAGAGGGAAGCAACACCGAGGTATCTGAGCCAGCTCCTAGGTTCACCCCGACGTTGCTGCTGTTACCTGTGTGTGTATGTATGTGTGTGCCTGCATGTGTGTATGTGTGTGTGCATGTGTGTGCGTGTGCATGTGTATATGTGTGTGTGCATGTGTGTGCGTGTGCATGTGTATATGTGTGTGTATGTATATGTGTATGTGTATTGGATGGGGAAATATAGGCTCTTAGTGTTTAGAGGGAGATGGGACCTTAAAGGTCATCTAATTCAGGGCTTCTTAACCATGGCTAGATTTCAGGGGGTCTGTGAACTTAGATGTGGAAAAATGACACCTTTATTTTCACTGCCCTTTATAATTCTATGCAGTTGAATCGACGCATTTAAAAGTGTGCTTCTGAGAAGGGGCCCATAGGCTTCCCCAGACTACTAAAGGGGTCAAGGACACCAAAAATGGATAAGCCCCTCTGATCTCCTTTAACCCATCTGTAGAATCACAGAATCTAGAGGCAGAAGGGGCCTTTGAAGCTAATTATTCCAAACCATGCCAGAACGAGAGATACTTGATTTAGATTCAGGGGATCTGGGTTCAAATCCCAGCTCTGCCGTATTATCCCTCCCCAGCTCTAACTGTCACCTTGGTTGAGTCATGTCCCCTCTGGGTAGTTAGCTAGCTAGCTAGCTATTTGGATAGGTAACTACTTGCCAGTCTAGCTAGTTTCCTCCTCTACAAAATGAGGGAGTTGGATTAGACGACCATTGAAGTCCCTTCCCATCTGAGTCTACCTTGCTGTATACCTTTTAAACCTTTACTTGGCGATCTCCAATAAAGGGGATCTCCTGCCGCCTGGGGCTCCTCATTTCACCTCATTTCATATGACATTTGGTCATAATTTTTAGGAGGAGCAGCTAGATGGCCCGATGGACACAGTCAGGAAGTGACTGAGTTCAAATCCATCCTCCGACACTTAGCTGTGTGACCCGGAGCAAGCCACTTAACCCTGCTTGCCTCAGTGTCCTCATCTGTAAAATGAGTGGGAGCAGGAACCGCTCCAGTATCTCTGCCAAGAAAACCCCAAATGGGGTCATGAAGAGCATTTATAAAGCTTGCAAACAACTTTATAAATATTGCATAAGCCTCACAACAACTCTGGGAGGGCAGGTGGTGTTATTATCCCCACTTTTACATATAGGGAAATCGAGGCAGACAGGGTGACTTTTTCTTGCCATCAAGCCTAAATCTAGCTCTTGGCACCCTTCCCCCATTGTTCTGAGCTCTGCCCTATGGGGTCTCAGCAGAACAAACCTTAATCCCTTAATCCCTTTGCCATAGGGCAGTTAGACTTGAAAATGGCCATCCTTCCCTTCCTCCCTCCCCTGTTTGTCCTTCTCCAGGCTAAGCATCCTCAGTTCCTTCAGGTGATCCCAGGGCCTGGTCTCCACACCCTTTCTTCACCTTGCAGATGGTCAAACTCAGGCTCCAGGAGTGTAAGTCACTTGACCAAGATCATACTGGTAGAAAGTAGCACCTAGCGTGTCGCCCGGCCCATAGTAGGCACTTAATAAATGCTTATTGATTTATTGATAGTAAATATTGGAGTCCAATTTGAGCTAGGGGCCTCTGATCTTTCTATTGTTCTTTCTATTACACCTTGTGGCAGAGTATGAATGGAAGGGGGGGAGAGGGAGAGGAGCAAGCATTTATTAAGCACCTACTGTGTGCCAGGCTATGTGCTAAATGCTAGAAAGACATAGAAAAGCAAGAGACGGTCCCTGTCCTCAAGACACTCCCAGTCTAATGGGAGAAAACATATAAACAACATATAAACATTTAAACAACATATAAATTTGTATGTATAAACATACAAATAAGAAATGTATAGCATAAATTGGAGGTAGTCAACTAGAGGGGAAGCACTAAAATTAAGGGGGAAATATATCACCCCCATCTTACAGATGGGAAAACTGATGCTCACAAAATGACTTCTCCAGGATCCATCACTAGAGGGAGGGTTTAAACCCAGGGCTCTCCTAAGTCCAGGTGGGCAGCTTGGTGACTCAGCGGATAGAGCACCGGGCCTGGATTCAGGAAGATCTAGTTTGAATCCTACCTCAGATAACTTTCTAGTTTTGTGACTCTAGGCAAGTCACTTAACCTCTGTCTGCCTCAGTTTCTTAAACTGGAAAATGGGAGATAACCATTAGCATCTAACTCCCACAGTTGTTGCGAGGATGAAATAAGTTAACACGCATAAAGCAATTTATAAACCTTACAGCATTATATAAATGCTAACCGTTATTAATCCGGCTTTTCATTGTGAATGCTTCTTCAGCCTGCTGGAACTGTAAACCACTAGGAGATCAGCTTGTCCAAACTCCTTCAGTTTTCAGATGGGGAAACCTGAGGCCTGGAGAAGGGACTTGCCCAAGGTCACGTAGGCAGCAAAGGCAAGATTTGAACCCAGATCCTCCCAACCCTAAATCCAGTGCTCATTTCACTCAGCCACATCAATATATAAAACGCTACGAGGCTCGTTCTATGGGCTGCTTACAGACGCATCTGACCACAGAGGGAGGTGTCACTCAGATCTTTTCCAGGAAGGGGGCTTTCCTGCCCAAAGCAGCTGAATTCACCAAACAGAAGCTGGCGGGCTTCAGGCAGGGCTCTTGCCAGGCAGCTCTCAATGCTTTTGCAACAAAAGACGGGGTTTTTTTTTTTCCCCTGGATGTCTTCAAGTGTGACAACAAACAGATGTCTGTCATCACCCTCCATGCACAGTCAGACAAGATCTACTGGCGGAATGAGAAAATGCAAATCACACAGGGAGGATGTAGTGTCTGCTGCCCACCCTCCCCCAACTGATTCTCTCTGCCTGGCATCCTGAAACGATTCAGGTCTGCCAAGCCCAGCCAAGCTGGGCTTCTCCTCAGCCTGGACTCTCAGGCTGGGGCTGTTTCCATGCTGAGCAGCTCTTACAAGCAGGTGGTTTGGATATTGAGAATTTGAGAAGGATTGGGGATGCTGGCCTCAGCTTCTTCAGCTGTAAAATGAGGAAGGAAAGAGGAAGAGAGACAGAGAGGAGAGAGAGACAGAGACAGAGACAGAGAGAGACAGAGAAAGAGAGGAGAGAGAGACAGAGAAAGAGAGGAGAAGAGGAGAGAGAGAGAGAGAGAGAGAGAGAGAGAGAGAGAGAGAGAGAGAGAGAGAGAGAGAGAGAGAGAGAGAGAAGAAAGAGGAAAGAAGGAAGGAAGGAAGGAAAGAAGGAAGGAAGGAAGGAAGGAAGGAAGGAAGGAAGGAAGGAAGGAAGGAAAGGAAGGAAGGAAGGAAGGAAGGAAGGAAGGAAGGAAGGAAGGAAGGAAGGAAGAAGGGAAGGAGGGACACAGTTTGTCTAGACGACCTCTAAGGTACCTCCCAGATAATGCTGGAACCACTGATGACAAGCCAGGCGCCCTCAGAATCCCCCCCATCATTTCTGCTGGACTTCTCAGGAAGGCCACAGATGTTTATTAAGAGCTGACTATGGCACTGTGCTAAGCTCTGGTGAGAAGGGAACTTTGCTTCTGCAATCTTCCTCTGCCAGTCATCTTAATTTAATTTACTCCATCTGTCAACTATAATAATTCTATCATAGAAGTCAAGGACTCTAAGGTGGGATAAAACTAAAGTAGGAGCTGTGTGGTGTGGCTGGGGGTGCTGCAGCACAGGTGGGCTTTGCTCCTGGCTCAAGGGAAAGGGGGAACCCTAGAGAAATCATGTCAGCTCTCCAGGCCTCAATTTTCTCTTCTGGAAAATGAGGGGGTCAAACTATATCATGTTAACATCTCTCTTATGTTTTTAGACATTCTCTATTCCAAGGGTCCTCCAAGCTCTAACATTCTCTGGGGTTTTTTTTAATTTTTTTTTAGCTCTAACATTCTGTGCTAAGGTCCCTCTCACATTGTGACATTTCACAGGTCTAGGGCTGTTTTTTAGGCTAGGTTCTCCAAACTAATCCTGTTGTCCAGGTGTTGAAGTCAAACACCTTTTTTGCCTGAGAAAAAGACCTAGGAATACAGTTACCTGCTCTTCATCTTTTTTCAAAATAAGACCACACCCAACTACATTACCTCCCAGTTCTCCCTCTCCTCCTTCTCTCTCTGTCTCTCTCCCTCTCTCTCTCTCTGGGTCTCTGGGTCTCTCTGTCTCTCTCTGTCGCTTTCTCTCTCCGTTGCAGACTTCCCCAAAGTCTTCATTTCCCCTCCCCTCCATTACTCCACATGCCCTCCTAGCTCGGAACAGGCTGGATGACCACTCATGGGCTAAGACATAGAGGGAATCATTTCTCTGGGACAGGCTGGACTAGATTCCTCTGAGGTCCCTTCCAATCCTGAGTTTCTGAGACCTCTAGGGAAGTTGCCTGAATTGACCCTGACTGGTCATTGCAGCGTGGAAAGAGGGTCCTTAAATGACTCCAGTATCACTGTCCTCTTTCATAGGGAGAAGTCTGGATCCAAAGCCCAGCTCTTTGATCAAGAAGCTGGAACTCTCCGAGGACCTGCCACCCAATGGCCCAGTGGAAGAATCATCTACTAGCTTGGCCCCCACCATCCTGTTTTTGACCACATTTGAGACAGCGGCGTCCACTGAAGAATCACCAGTCCTGCCTGTTACATCCCCACGGCCCCTGGTAAGGAATCAGAGACCCACAAAATGGTAGTGCCCTGAGAGACTATTCAGTTCTGCCCCTGCATTTTAATAATAACAATAATTATGACTAGCTTGCGAAGCACTTTACAAATATCTCATTTTTATTCTCACAAGAATCCTGGTGCTACTATTTATCCCCATTTTGCAATAAGGAAACTGAAGCAGACAGCAGTTAAGAGCACACAGGGTCACACAGCTAAGTGAATGTCTGAGGCTAGATCTGAACCAAGGACTTCCTGGCTCTAGGCCCAGGGCCACCTGAATGCCTAAGAGGAGAAGGAAACCAAGGTACGGAGGAGAAAAGGGACTTGCCCAGAGTCACACCACTTGTCAGTAACACAGCCAGGGTTAGAAACCATGTCTCAGCAACACAGAACATACCCGGAGTCTACGAACCTTAAAAAATATCTATTTTGATAACTGCATTTCAACATAATTGGTTCCCATTATAATACTCTATATTTTATTTTATGCATGTTAAAATATAATTCTAAGAAGGGATGCCTAGGTTTCCCCAGACTCTTAAGGGGCTTGTGTTGTAGAAGGAGGGAGGGAAGAGTGTTACTAAAGGAAAACTGATCTTGGGGAAAAGGATGCTCCCCAGAGCTAGAAGGAGAAGGAACCCAAGGAAGGACTGAAGGTTAATTGTTCTATTCTCTGCATAAAAGATCAAGGGACTGACTCTCTGTCAGGCTGAGGAAAGCTTTGTTTGCACACACCTGGTGGAAAGAATACTGAAGTCTTGGGACCTGAGTTTGAATCCTGGTTCTGCTGCTCGTGAGTTATGTGAGTTATTTAACCTCTGCTCTGTAAAATGAGGGCAGCTGGGTGCACAGTGGATAGAACACCAGGTCTGTGATCAAGAAGACCTGAATTCAAATCCAGCCTCAGATACTTACTAACTGTGTGACCCTGGACAAGTCACTTCACCCTCAGTTTGCCTCAGTTTCCCCATCTGTCAAACGAGCTGGAGAAGGAAATGGCAAACCAGTATCTCTGCCAAGAAAACCCTAAATGGAGTGATAGAGAATCGGACGCAGCTGAACAACAATTGTAAAATGAAGGAACTGAGCTGAATTACAAGTCCGTGCTTGTAATCTCTGACCCTGGGGAGGTTGAGGCTGGTGGATACTTGAATTCAAGAGTTCTGAGCTACCGTAGAGCAAAGTCTGGCTCGCATGATGGGAGCTCTGGATCTAGGAGTGTGCTGGAAAATGTCTTTAACAACCGGCTCTCAAAAAATTGTGCACAAGACACTTTTGTTGTTTAATCTGCATTATTAACATTTCCTCCATCATTTTCTTAAGTCTAGACATCAACAAAACAGTAAATCAAGCCCCAATTTGAAGCATTTGCTGATTTCTCAAGTGCAAGTGTTCATACTGAAAAGCAAACAATCAACTCAAGCAGGTGTGAGCTGGCTCCAGGACACTCCTTTAACATGATCCAGAATGGCCTGTGTGACCTTTAGTCAGTCCCTTTGCTTCTGTAGGCCTCTTCTTTGATCAAGAGGGAGGAATATTGTGAACTGAGGAGACCCTGGTTCTCATCTTGACTCTATCACTACTAAGGATGTGACCTTGGGCAAGTCAATTCCCATCTCTGCGCCTCAGTTTCCTCCTCTGTAAAATGAGGACACCTCTCATCTGAAGCCTTTTTTAAAAAGTATTTTATTAAACTATTAATAGAGGCAGGAATTGACTTGCCCAAGGTCATACCACTAATCGGTTACAGAGCCAAGACTAGAACCTGGGTGTCCTCAGTCCATCAGAACTTTCCTCCTTTTTGAATGAGGCCCAAAGAAGGGGACCAAAGAGGCCTTGCTAAAGGGACCTGCTAAAGGTCACACAGGTCAGTCTAGATCATATGAAAGGAGTACACTGGAGCCAGATCCAGCTGCTTGAGCTGATTATTAAATTTTCAGGATATTTCAATGTAATTGTTTTTCTTTGTAATCTCTATGTGTTTTAGGTATTTAAAAACATTATCCTGTGGGGCAGCTAAGTGGCACAGTGGATAGAGCACCAGCCCTGGAGTCAGGAGGACCTGAGTTCAAATCCGGCCTCAGATACATAACACTCACTAGCTGTGTGACTCTGGGCAAGTCATTGAACCCCAACTGCCTCACCAAAAAACAAAAACACAACAATAACAACAACAAAAACCCATTAATCTGTGAAGGGGTCCAGAGGCTTCACCAGACAATGTCCAAAGGATCTAGGATGTCAAAATATGTTGAGAACCCATAGTCTAAGGGAAGGGAATGAGATGTGGCTACTCCTCATAGATGCGAATGAATAATTCACTTTGTGATCAGCATAATCCAGTGGTGTTACTACATTGAGACATCGGGTACCCTGACCAATGAATAACTCCTTATGGCTGCAGAGACCTTAGAATCAAAGTGATTTTGGGGCTCCAGAGTGAACCAGAGCAGCCATAAGGATGCCTGTTGGTCTGAGATGCTTTATTAATGATTCACTGGTCCTTCCTTTGTAGCCTTGGTTTCTCTAATTGTGATTTTTTTTGTTATTGTTTTTAATTTAGTATTTTATTTTTCCCCAGTTACATGTAAAAACAATTTTTAACATTTGTTTTAAAACTTTGAGTTCCAAATTCTCTCCCTTCCTCCTTCCCCACCCCCACCCCCATTGAGAAGGCAAGCAATTTCTATATAGGTTATACACATGTAGTCATGCAAAACATATCCCTAATAGTCATGTTGTGAAAGATAAACTCAAGAAAAATAAAGTAAAGAAAGTGTGCTTCAATCTGCATCCAGATACTGTCAGTTCTTTCTCTGAGGATAGACAGCATTTTTCATCATAAATCTTTCAGAGTTGTCTTGGATTGTTGTTTTGCTGAGAATGGCTAAGTTATCTGTAGCTGATCACCTTACAACATTGCTGTTATTTTGTACGCAGTACATTTCACTTTGCACCAGCCCATGCAAGGCTTTCCAGGTTTTCTGGGTAATTCTGATGTTTTGAACCAATATAGTTTATTGATCTTCCTACCTTGTCTTCTCCAGGCTTGGATAAGGCCTGATGGAGATGTGATGCCTACCCTGGACATGGCTTTGTTTGACTGGACTGATTATGAAGACTTAAAACCTGACATGTGGCCCTCTGCTAAGAAGAAAGGTATATCTTCCCTGCCTTTCCTCCTCGTGACTCATCCCTAGTTCGACTTCACCTGTGTTTTTTCCCCTGTTAGGCCTTGGGGCTAGAAGGAGGGAATCTGATTCACAGAATTTCAGAATCTCCAAGTTGGAAGGGACCTCAAAGGCCATGAATCTAGCCTCTACTTAAAAAAGAATCCCCTCTCTAGTATCCCTGACAAACAGCTGTCCAAACTCTACTCAGAGAAGCCATCTAACCTCTACTTGGAGGGCAGTCTGTTCCACTAAGGAGCAGCTCCAGTCATGAGGACGTTTTTTCCTGATATCAAGTTGAAAACCTTCTTTCTATAACCTCTGCCTGCTGCTCCTAGATCTGCTCTCTGGGGCCAGTTAGAACAAGTCTGAGCTTTCTTCTGCATGCTAGCCTTTCAGACTCGTTCCTAAGGTTTAGAGCTGGAATGGGCCTCAGAGACCATCCAGTCTAACACCCTTATTTTACAGATGAGAAAGCTGATACACTGGGAAATTGAGAAAACTGAGGACAAGAGAGGGATGTGACTTCCCCAAGGTCACTTGTAAGTGGCAGAACCAGGATTCAAACCCAGATATTCTGTAGCTCCAAATCTACTGCTCTTTCCACTCCACCACCTGTCACAGCCCTACAAAATGACTCAGACCTGGAAATCAGTAACAAATAGTGACTCTATCTTCAACACTTTCTATCTTGTTTCTGTGGTTCATTTAGACATTTTTATACACTGACTACTGAGGTCTATCTGTAAAAGAGCTCAAAGACCAATCTATAAGAGGTCAATCTATACTCAAGACATGGCATGTCTCTTTTATACTCCAAATGAGTCTAGCTCCATAGAACACCTAGCATTTATATAAAAATGTAAGGTCTGCAAAGCATTTTAAGAATATTATCTCATTTCATCCTGGAAAGTAGATGCTATTATTATCTCCATTTTACAGATGGAGAAACTGAGGCAGACAATGGTTAAAGTGATTTGCCCAAGGTTATAGAGCTAGGCAGTGTCTGAGGCAGGATCTGAAATTGGATCTTCCTGATTCCAGTCCCAGTACTCTATCTACTGAGACATCTAGCTGCCTAGAAATATCGCTATTTGGGACTATAATGCATTTATAGTGTGTAGTACAGAAATACATAGAAACTGATAGAAATTGTGCTTCACACTTTTGTGAAAGCTGTGTCCCATTCCTGAAATGCCCTTCCTCCATACTCCTACCTCTTAGAATCTCAAATTTCCTTCAAAACTCTTCATCCTCCACCTCCAAACTACCTTGTATTTATTTTCATACATGCATATGTGTGTGTCTACATATAACTGTTATCTCCCTGATAAAATGTAAGCTCCTTGAGGTTAGAAACAGTTTCCTCTTTATCTCCATATACCCAGTGCCTGCCTCTCCACGTGCATTTAATGCTTGATTGATTTAAGGCGAATGATCCAAGTGGCTGACAGTTCTGAACTGAGAGAAACTACCTTTTCACTGCATAGAAATGTTCCTTTCAGGGGCAGCTTGGTGGAGCAGTAAATAGAGCACCAGGTCTGTAGTCAGGAGGACCTGAGTTCATATCCGACCTCAGACGCTTACTAGCAGTGTGACCCTGAGCAAGTCACTTAACCCCCATTGCCTCCAAAATTAAAAAAAAAGAAATGTCCATTTCAGAAGCACGAGAGTCTTAATGTTATATCACTCCCTAACTTTATCACAAAAATCCTCTCAGTCTCCTAGAGATTAATTAATCTCTCTCCTAGAGATTGATAAACTACTTTCCTGATTCCCCTCTACTATAGTCAGGGAGAAGGCCTGCAATATCCAAGAATGTGTCTAGGCTTCACTTGCCTTCTCTATCAAATGAGACGGTTGGACACACTGATCTCTAAGAATCCTCCCAGCCCCAGATTCTCTGCTTCTATAACCGGCTTTCCTTAAGGTCCAGGATGTGTTGCAGAGATTCCTTTCATAAATGGATTGGACATGATGACCGCCACAGTTCCTTCTAGCCTTCACATTCTGCCATTCTGGGATTCTTCCAGCCAGCTCTAACAATCCCCAGAGTTCCACGGCAAGCCTGAAGATGAGCTGGGGACAGAAATGGGAGATGCCAGTACCTCACACTCTCAGCGGCAGCTTGTCAGGGAGGGAGGGGGGAAGAGAGGGATGTGTCTGTCAGCTTTCTCACCCATGTTCTCTTTTTCAGAGAAACATCAGAGTAAAAGCCCAGGCTATGGAAATGAAACTTCAGCAGCTAGAGAGGAACCCTGTGACCATCACCTTGACTGTCTCCCAGGTACTCCCTCTCCATCACACCAAGGAATCTTCTATAGAGAATAGGATGGAAAGGGGAAGAGGGAGGTGGCTCTCAAGCCTACTGAGGAGGGCGCATGCCCCCCTAAGGATGGCAAAACTGTAGATGGCCTCTCTCTAGAGCCTGAATTTCCTCTCTCTTGACTATTTCCTGTTTGAGATAAATGGGGCAAGTTCTGTCCTCATCCCGTCACCCAGGCAACAGATCTTCAGGGAGTGATGAATGAAGCCTGCATTAATGCAGCCACCTGTTTGACTATGGTGGCTGTCTACCCATCACAAAGCAAATTTGACAGCTGTTTTCCATCACTAATTGTTCCTGCTTGTCACATGGTGGGGATGGGGCGGGATTCAAAGAGGTTTTGGTGTCATGGAAACCAAACAACTGGTTGACTGATTTTTTTTTCACTTCTTGCCCAGTTTGATCAGTTTCACAGACATCTATTTTGAGTGCCTACTATGGGTTGGGGATGCAGAGATAGCTATGACATGGGATCTGTCTATAAATCATCTAATGGGAAGGAGGAGCAGGAGAGGATCAGCCCCAGATTGGCCACGATATGAGGGAAGATGAGCTAACAGAACCTTAGGGTCAGAAGGATCCTCCAGGGCCATGATGTCCAATCCCTAGCTGACCAAGAAGTCCTTTACAATATCCCAAGGGGCTGTTCAGCATCTGCTTGAAGACCTTTGGTTAGGAGAAACTCACTACCCCTCTGCCCCTCCCTTCACCAAGGCAGACCATTAAGGGAGATGGCTTGTAAAAAAAATTATGCAAAATTTGAGGGGAGAAAGCTTGCCTTTCCTTGGCAGGGGGAATCAGAGAGCTTCATGGAAATGGGGAGACCTTGGATGGACCTTGAGGGAAGGGAGGGACTTCAAGAGATGACGGTGGCTGAAGGGGAAGAGAAGGACGTCCTAGTTATGGGAGAGGGGCGAGCACAGAGATGGTGGGAGACAGGCCATTCATTCTGTTTGCGGTAATACTAGCTACCATTCATGTAGCTACACATGGGTCATGTCATATCTTCATAATAACTCTGGAGGGAGGAGCTGTTATTAGTCCTATTTTACAGATGAGAAAACTGAGCCTAAGAGAGCAAAATGTTTCAAAAACTATATTGCACTCTTAATGTGTGTGGAATTGTGATGCTGAAAAACTTTGAGGATGCCTTAAGAATTAATTTGACCATCGTACCAGTACAGCTGATATAGCAGGTAGACCCTATCTGTCTTGGCCCTCAGTTTCTTTGCAAACAGGAAGATCTGAGTTCAAATTTAGTCTCAGACACTTCCTAACTCTGACCTTGGGCAAGTCATTTTACCTTTCTCTGCCTCTGTTTTCTCATCTGTAAAGTTGGGATAATAATAGCACCTGACTCCCACAGTTGTAATGATAAAAATGAGATAATATTTGCAAAGTGCTTTACAAACTTTTAGGCACTATGTAAATGCTAATTATTATTGTAGTAGTAGTAGTAGTAGTAGTAGTAGTAGTAGTAGTAGTAGTAGTAGTAGTAGTAGTAGTAGTAGTAGTCGTCAAGTGAGGAGAGCCATATTAGGTGATCCTTGAGATCCCCACCAGATATAGAATTTTCTGATTCTGCTGGGATCTCATCCTGGAGATGGTCACATGCAGTTTGTTCTTCCTCAGCGATCAATAAGCAGCCTCTGGCAGCTGGGCATCTTGGCCTTCCCAGGAGGGAGCCTCTGGTGATACATCCATTGGTGAGCCCGGCACGATGCCTCTCCAGACCAGCTGGCCTCTGTCTGCTCTCCTCTCTTTTGGGGCTGCATCCCTGTCATGGAGATGATGGATGCCCTTTAAAGGGGGACAGTCCCTCGGGGGAGAGCAGGGAGAGGCGCTCAGCCCGGGTCTGACCACTCTTGGTATCTTGGCAGGGTCTTGCTGTGACTTACGGGAACATCTCTGCAAACCTCATAACCGAGGCCTGAATAATAAATGTTTTGATGACTGCATGTGCATGGAAGGTAAGTTCTTTCTAGCCTTCCTCTTCTGCTACTCCCTTTGGCGTAAGGTGGGGAGGGAACCAGAAGGCCTTATTTCTCATACCGCTTTCTTGCAATCAGGACTTTGGGAGGCATCATGGTGGAGTGAGTAGATTTAATATTTAATTCTATTTGGACATGTTGTTTGTTCTGACAGCATGTAAGATTCTTTTTTTTTTTTAGGCAATTGGTGTTAAGTGACTTGCCCAGGGTCACACAGCTAGTAAGTGTCAAGTGTTTGGTCTGAGGTCAGATGTGAACTCAGGTCCTCCTGGCTTCAGGGCCGGTGCTGTATCCACCACACCACCTAGCTGCGCCTAGCATGTAAGATTCTTGAGGGCAGAGATGGCTCCATTTTTGTCTCTGTATCCCTGATTGCTGGCTCGTTTAGACAACGAATGCTGTGGATTGATTGGTTAATTGGTTAGTAGACTTGGAAGTCAGGAAGATCTGGGTTCAAATGCTGCCTTTGACAATTATTAGCTATATGACCCTGGGCAAGTCACTTCACCTTTTTCTGCCTCAGTTTCCTTGTCTTTAAATTAAAGATCATAATAACGCCTACCTCATAAGGTTGTTGTAAAGATCAAATGGGATAATCTAGCACTTTGCAAACCTTACAACATTTTATGTTATTATTATTATTCCTATCTGATTCTCAGATTCCTCATTTGCAAAATTAGTTCTTCACTCATTCAGTTATAAGGATCTAGTGAGGTAATATTGACAGATAGGTAATTCAGTGGATACAACACTAAAGAAGACCTGAATTCAGATCCTGCTTCAGACACTTACTAGCTGTGTGTCCCTGGGTAAATCACTTAACCTGTCTGTTTCCCTAATTGTAAAATAGGGATCATAAGAGTACTTACCTTCTAGAGTGATTGTGAGAATAAAATTAGAAAATGATCACAAAGCTCTTTGTGGACCTTTAAGTGCTATATAAATGCTAATTATTATTATTATCACTAAATTCCTCTAGTTCCCTTATTTCTCATTTGTAAAATGACTCCTTAACTCACCCAGTTGTAGGGATCTCCCAATGAGATAATAGATATAAAGTGTTTTTAAAATTTTAATGTACTATAAACACATAAACTGACAAAATAAACAGCTATGTGAGGTCTAAGAGGTGACAATTCACTGGGATGATGAGAGGAGGCTTCCTGGAGAACAGGAGTGGGTCTTTAAAAAATGGGGAAGAATTCAACAAAAATGATTTCCCACCTATGTCTAGTTCCCGAGTGAGCAAGCTGTAGGAGGATATTGTGGGGGACAGAGCCCAGGCTAAAGACTTCTGAAGATCTGGGCAGCTAGGTGGTGCAGTGGATAGAGCACCAGCCCTGGATTCAGGAGGACCTGAGTTCAAATCCGGCCTCAGACTCATAACACTTACTAGCTGTGTGACCTTGGGCAAGTCACTTAACCCCATTGCCTAACCAAAAAAAGAAAAAAAAAAGGAAGACTTCTGAAGCTCCCGAGGTCCCTCAGCATGCTTCCATTTCTTCACCTTATCCCATCACCTCCCAGGGAGACATCTCCTACCTTTTCCCTGTCCTGTAGGGAGAGCTTTGATCTCAGGTTCCTAAGTCTCCCTAAGTAGATGGCTTTTTAGTGAACCCCTAGGTACATATATGACAGTGAAAAAGCAATGAATTTTAAGTCAGAGGACAGAGATTTTATTGCCAGCTCGGCCAATGACTATATTTGATAATAATACCTAACATTTATTTATATAGCACTTTGTAGCTAAGGCTTATAAAGCATTTTGTATACATAATCTCGTTTGACCCCCACGACAATCCTGTGAAGTAGGTACTACTATTATCCCCATTTCTTAGATGTTGGAAACTGAGGCTTAAAGCTATCACCTAGTTAGTAAGTGTCTCAGACAAGATTTGAACTCAAGGTCTTCATGAATATCATCTCCCCACTAAAGTGCTTTGATGTCTTATTATGGTACACAGGTGACCTCCTCGGCTCTTGAAGGCTCTACTTGCTGGGTTCACACTCTCTGGTAGGGTCTGGAAAGGCTTTGAATCTGGCTCCAATGAGAGAGAATTCTCTAAGGACCAGCCTTGCTGAGTTCAAGGAGGTTGTCCCCCAAAGTGGGCACGGGTTGCTGCATGCTTTGGCTAAGCAAGGTCATTCTAAGGAGTGGAGAAATCTCATCTCCCCCAATACAAAAAGACCCCACAAGCATGAGGCCAAGACATGATTCTCACCATCCTTCCCATCTCTCTCCATGCACACATCGATCAGCTTTGTTCAGATTTATCTGCTGATATCAGGCTAAGTGGGAAAGAGTGGGACAGAGACTTGGAGTCAGGAAGACCTGAGTTCAAATCCTGACCCTGTCACTTGCTAGGTATGTGACCCTGGCAAGTCACTTAAATTCTTAGGACCCTATTTCCTCACCTGAAAATTGGACATCATAATAACAACTGCCTCACGAGGTTGTCATGAAGGACTAATGAGATGCAGAAGAAATGGCATTGGCAGAGAGAGTTTTCTCACTGAGAGTTCCCCACACAAAATAAATCCCAAAGCTAGCTTTTTAAAAAAAAGTGCTATCAAGGGGCAGTTAGGTGACGGCAGTCAGGAGGACCTGAGTTCAAATTTGACCTCAGACACATAACACTTACTAGCTGTGTGACCCTGGGCAAGTCACTTAACCCCAGCGCCTAGCCAAAAAAAAAAAGTGCTATCATAGTAATAAATTAACCATTTCGGTCTAATGCCCTTTGCAGCTAGGTGGCACAGTGCTGAGACTGGAGTCAGGATATTGTTCAGTCATTTCAGTAGTGTCCAACTGTCTGTGACCCCATTTGGGATTTTCTTGGCAGAGATACTGGAGTACTTTGCCATTTCCTTCTTCAGCTCATTTTACAGATGAGAAAACTGAGGCAAACAGGGTGAAGTGACTCACCCAGGATCATACAGCTAATAAGAGTCTGTGACTGGATTTGAACTCGGGTCTTACTGACTTCAGGCCCAGTGCTGGTGCTCTGTCCATTGCTACATCTTGCTATCCTGGCAAGACTTGAGTTCGAATCTGGCCTGCTATACTTATTGCTTTTCCTCCTTAGGAAACTACTGCAGGTTTGGCTTGACTTAGCTGTCTTAAGGATTAGTACCTTCCACTATTTTTTTTTTAAAACATAACCCCATTTCCCCCAGGGAGGAGGCAGGGACTTAGTGTGACCCTGAGCAAGTCACCCTCTCTTTGCCTCAGTTTCCTTATCCGAAAAATGGAGATACTAATAGCACCTGCCTCCCAGAGTTGTTGTGCGGGTCAAATGAGATAATATTTGTAAGGCACTTAGTACAGTATCCAGCCCATGATAGGCACTATGTAAATATTAGCTGTCATTATTATTATCATTTCCAGCTATTGTCAGCACCATTTTACTGGTGTAAAAGACTCACCCTGTTGTTGTCTATTTGGAAGCAACAGACAAGAGCAAAGCAAAAGCATCAGGTTGCAGGTGGTTCTACTTCGCCTTATGGGTGGGGTGCCCGGGTAGGCTGCCAGCCCTCAAGCCACCTGCCTGTTTCCCAAGCTCCATCTGCTCAGTTAATCCCTCTGAAGTCAGTCCCACATGACCTAAGTCCCTGCCTTCTCCCTGGGGGAGGTAGGGTTATGTTTCTTTTTGTTGTTGTTTTTCATTTAATGTTTTATTTTTTCCCCAATTGCATGTAAAAACAATTTTTAACATTCATTTTTTTTAAATTTTAAGTTCCAAATTCTTTCTCTCCCTCCCTCTCCTACCCCCTCATTGGGGGCAAACAATTTGATATAGGTTATACATGTGTAGTCATGCAAAACATTTTTCCATATTAGTCTTGTTGTAAAAGAAAACAGAGACCAAAACAACAACAAAAATAAGGAAAGTCCGAAAAAGTCTGCTTCAACCTGCATTCAGACTCCATCAGTTTTTTCTCTGGAGATGGATGGCATTTTCATCATAAGTCCTTTGAAAATCTCTTGGATCATTGTATTGCTGAGAATAGCTAAGTCGTTCACAACTGATTATTGTACAGCATTTGTAACTGTATACAGTGTTCTCTTGATTCTGCTCATATAACTTTACATCAGTTCGTGTAAGCCTTCCCAGGTTTTCCTGAGAGCAACCTGCTTGTCATTTTCTATAGTACAATAGTATTCCATCACAATCATACACCACAACTTATTCAGCCATTCCCCAATTGATGGGCTTCCCCTCAATTTCCAGTTCTTTGCCAAAGCGGGGTTATATTTCAAGAAAAAAAAATTAGTGTAGGGTACAAAGCTTTGAGACAACTAAGTCATGTGCAAAACCTGGAGTAGTTCCCCTGAGGTTCTGTCACTAAAATAAGGAGGAAAAGCAGGTAGGCTCTGAGAAAATCAGTCTACATCACCCCTAAATAGCCATCTATGAAAAGACAGTTGAGTTACTAAGCTACTCGTGAACAATCTCTCATGCCTTGAGTATAGGAACCTTGTCTTGAAATCAAAAAGTCAAATGGAAAAGATGTTTAGGCCAGGGCCGGAAAAAAAAAATCTGTTTTCATTGACAATATGAATAAATGGATTCTACATAACAGTCAGACAGCAAGCATTTATTAAGTGCCTCTTATGAGCCAGGCACTGTGCTAAGGGGATTGGTGATACCAAGAAAGGCAATAGACAGTCCCTGCTCTCAAGGGGTTCATGGTCTAATGGGAGAGACAACAGGCAAACAACTACATACAAATAAGCTCTAAACAGGATAAATTGGAGGTAAGCAAGAGAGGAAAGCATTAGAATTTAAGAGGAAATCAGGAAAGGCTTCCTGGAGATGGTGGGATTTAGGCCGAGATTTGAAGGAAGCCCGGGAATCCGGGAGGTAGAGGCAGAGATGAGGAGGGAGAACACTGGAGGGACAGCTGTGAAAATGCCCAGAGTTGGGTGCAGCTAGGTGGCGCAGTGGATGGAGCACTGGCCCTGGAGTCAGGAGGACCTGAGTTCAAATCTAGTCTCAGACCAGACACTTGATACTAGCTGTATGACCCTGGGCAAGTCACTTAACTCCAATTGCCTCACCCAAAACCAAAACAAAATGAATAAAATGTCCAGAGTTGGAGGATGGTGTGTTTTGTGTAGAGGACAGCCAGAAGACCAAGTGTCCTTGGATCAAAGAATTCATGGTGGGGGAGGGAAAGGTAAGGGATAAGAAGACTGGAGATGGGGGAGGGAGCAGATGCAAATTATGAAAGGTTTTGAATGCTAAACAGAGAATTTTATATTTGATCCTGGAGGTGATAGAGAGCTACTGGAGTTGACTGAATGGAGGCATGTGGGGTGGGAAGGGAGGTGACACGCTCAGACTTGTAATTAGGAAGATCACTTTGGCAACTGAATGGAACATTGACTGGAGTAGAGAGACACTTGTGGCAGGGAGTCCAACCAGCAGGTATAATGTGATAATGGGTGACTGGAGGATGGTGGTACCCTTAACAGCAATAGGGAAGTTAGGAAGAGGGGAGATCTAGGGGGAAAGATGATGAGTTCAGTTTCGGACTTGCTGAGTTTAAGATAGCTACAGGACGTCCAGTTCAAGCTGTCTAACGGGCAGCTGGAGATGCAAGAATGGAGATCAGCAGAGAGCTAGGGTGGGATAAGTAGATTCGAGAATTGTAAGTATGGAGATGGCAATTAAATTCATGGGAAATGATAAGATCACCAAGTTAAACAGTATAGAGGAAGAAGAGAAGAGGATCTGGGTAAAGCCCTGTGGGACATTTACAGTTATTGAATGGGACCTGGGTGAAGAACCGGCAAAGGAGACTGAGAATCAGCAGGAGAACCAGGAGAGAATAGTGTCATGGAACCTAGAGGGAATAGAGTGTCAAGGAGGAGAGGGTGATCAGCAATGCCAAAGGCTTCAGAGAAGTCAAGAAGGAGGAAGATTGAGAAAAGGCCAAAAGATTTGTCAATTAAGAAACCATTAGTAACTTTGGAGGGGGCAGACATAGATTCCAGTGCAAAGTACTCATCTACAGAGGAACTCATGGCATCCTAGATTTTGAGGTAGAGGAGACGTTAAAAGCCATTGAGAATACACATATGTGCCTACTTAAACACGGCGTATGCACACACAGAGCCTCTCTCTTCCCCCAGGACAGATGGCCACCTTCTTCACTCTTCTGTTGTTTACTTTGCACAGGACTTCGCTGCTATGCCAAATTTCACCGTAACCGAAGAGTCACTCGAAGGAAAGGACGATGTGTAGAGCCAGAGTCCATTAACGGGGACCAAGGATCATTTATTAACGTTTAGCGTACGAGATGCTGGCCCAGTTTCCCCATCTGCCTGTGGACCTTGCCCTGGAAGGTTGGGGAAGGGGGCAAATTATTTATAACTAGCGATAGGAAAAACAAAAGAGTGCACCAGATGGTTGTCAGAGGTTCTGAACCTGGACGTCCCAACTATGAAAAGAGAATAAATGGTGAGTGGCATTTGAGACCCACTGGGCTTAATGAAGCGTTGGACTGCTCAATGGCACCGATACAGCCAACCCACTACTCCAAATACTCTTCCTTCATCTTCTCTCAGCCATTTACAATGGATGGCAATGCTAAGAGTGACCTCTACTGTCACCAGGCGATACTGCACCACCATGATAGAAGTAAACGCGGACTATTGGCAATCTCTACAGGAGAGGAAGAGATAACTCGTTAGTTAGCTTCACTCTGCTAGGAAAGGTGATAATTTAGTGCCAGCTTGGGGGAGAGAAGGATGAAAAGATGAAAATTTACATGCTTTCTGTGTTTTTTGGCCTCTTTGGTGGGAGAGAGGTAGACATATGCATCAGTGAAGTCTATGGCTGAGTTAGTAATAGGATCTTCTTGCTGTCCTCCTTCTCTAAATCAGTGTCCCCTCATCAAAAAGCACTCAGTAAGTGCTTGTTTGTCTGTACAGAGTGATTAGGGAAGACCTGGTCCCTGCCTTCTGGACACTTCCAGCTTAAATTCCAATAGCTCTTAGTGGGTTTACAATGATCCTATGAGGTCCTTCAGGTACAAATACAAGGCTACTAACTCAGCATCACTGATGAGTATGTGTTTTCGAGTTCATTTTTCCTCTAATTTTTAGTTAAATCTTTCCTTTGCTATCCCACACTCACTTGTCCAGTCCTTATAACTAAAGGTACATGTTTGTGAGATATTTGGCTAGGAGTCACCACCATAGAACAGAGCAAAGCTAATTGGGTGGCCAGGGGTACCACGTCCGTGGAAGTCAGACGTCTTGGTCCCCGACGTAGCTGATTCTAAGCATGGACCACATTGGTAGAACCCAACAAAATCTGCCTACATGATTCTCAGTCTTACCCAGAAATCTGAATTATGAAGCATTAGACCCATGGGAATTCTCTAGACCTCTCTTTCTTCTAGGCCTAGGGGAAGTCCAGGATCTAGCCACATAATGTCTAATCACCCTTAATACCAGGAAGTGCTTTCTAATGTCTAAACTAAGTCTCTCTTGATGTAATGGAAGCCCATTTCCTCTAGCCCTACTCTCTGTTGAGACAGAAGCTATCCCAATGCTCTTCTAAGAACCATCTTTCATATAGTTGAGGACAACCATCAAGGCTTGAATAAGGAAGATGACAGTCCTGCTTTCCTCTGCTCTGATCAGACCACATCTGAAGCATTGTCCTTTCTAAGTACCTTGTTTTAAGAAGGACATTGACAAAATGAAGAGTATCCAGAGAGTGATCAAGCCTTACATGGATTGGTTAAAGAAACTCAGGTTAGTTAGTTTGGAGAAGGGAAGACTTAGACCAGGGGTTCTTAACTTTTTGTGTGTGTCTTAGGCCCCTTTGGCCATCAGACTGTGGACTCCTCAGAGTCATATTTTTAAATACATAAAAGAAAACACAGAGAATTACAAAGAAAGGCAATTAAATTGGAATTCAGTTTTATATGTGTGTATGTATTATATATACATGCTCTTTTTTTTAATGCAAGTTCTCCAACTCCAGGTTTAGGAAGCCCCGACTTAGAGGGAACATGAAGGTATTATCATATGGGAGAGGGACTGAATTTGTTCTTCTTGGCCCCAGAGGGCAGATCTAATAGGTGAAAGTTACAGAGAGGTAGTTTTAGACTCAGGGAAAATCAAAACAATTGGAACCGTCCCAAAGTGGGATAGGCTATCCCTAGAGGTAATGGTTTCCCAACCACTGTAAGTCTTCAAATGAAGGAGGGCAGACCATGATGTCATAGAAGGGATTTTAGATTAGGTGAAAGTTGAACTAGACCCCTTCTGAGCCCCCTTCCAGCTGTGGTTTTCCAAAACTCTCCCTCCAGCCTTATTTAATCTAGATTAGGGGTGGGGAACCTGCAGCCTCGAGGCCACATGTGGCCCTCTAGGTCCTCAAGTGCTGCCCTTTGGCTGAATGCAAACTTCACAGAACAAAGGGCCTTTGTAGAGAGCTATGTCCTAGTTGCTATGAGGAGGAGCACAGATGCAGTAGGAGATACATCCCCTGGTCCAGAAGAACTTATGCTCTACAGATCAAACAAGCATTGTATCATTGCATTTTAGCTGGCAACTCTAAGTTGACTAGACTTAGTAACTAGACCAGACTTCCAAGTTTTCCCAGACCACCTACTATTTCAAGAAATATCCAACCCATCTAATTACTGATTTCAGGGAAAGCTAAATTACTGAGCTAGTGCCTGGAGTTCACAAAAATGAGATTTGACCTGTAGCTGGAGAGACAAAGCACACATGTGAAACCCAGAACACATCTGTAAAGTGACATCATAATGTATAGAAGAATAAAACAAAAACCAAGTGCTCGAGTGATAAAGGGGCCATTTGGATGAGCTAGAAAATAAAGTCATTTTGGTTTCTGATGGGAAAGATTATGAATAAGGCCAGAACTGGTTTAATTGCTTTCAGTGTTTTTTTTCTCTCTGGCTTGTCCTAATTACTAGGATGAACGGAGAGGTAGCAGGGAATTAATTCACTCTCTGCATAAAGTCTTTGGTTTACAATGGAAGCCTGCTCACTACTTCAATAATGATCAGCTGTGAACCTCTAATCTGCAGGACTCAACCCTCAGCCTGCAGTGTCTTCTGGCCTCCCTTTTCTGTCTCCTAGCTTGGAAATGGTGTTCACTGCTGAGAAACTCAGTGGAATGGATTGATCAGGGGCTTTAGTCATTTAGTCTTCTGAATTCTTGGGAACTTTTTTAGTGGGATAAGTTTTTCTCTTTAAAGTGGGGAGGGGATTTTTTGGGAGGGACAGTTGTCATCTCGTAGTCCTGTGGTGTGTTGCATGTATGTTTTATTATATTGTAAATAAAGAGTTGATGGTTCATGACTAGGGGGCAATCTTGATATTCTCTGTCTTTTACTCCTCTGGGCAGAGCTGTCTGTCTACACACAGCAGCGTTAGAAGAAAACCTGGGAAGCCTTATGATTCAACAATAATAGTAGGCATTTTGTTCAGCGACGGGGCAGGTCACTTCACCCTGTTTGCCTCAGTTTCCTCATCTGTCAAATGAGCTGGAGAAGGAAATGGCAAATCACTCCGGTATCTCTGCCAAGAAGACCCCAAACGGGGTCATGGAGAGTCGGGCAACTGAGCAGTCACAAAATGTGTCAGGCTCTGTGCTAGATACAAGGGACTCTATGAAAGTGAAAAGCAGTCCCCGACCTCGAGGAACTTACATTCTACTTGGGGATACAACGCATAAGCAGGTAAGTAAACAGAAAGGTAGCAGGGTATCCTGGAAAGAAGACACATTTGGAGTCAGAAGATCTGAGTTCAAAACCGTTTTCTGCTATGGAATAGGCGGGTGACCCTGGGCAGCTCCTTGAGCTCTGTGGTCTTCAGTTGTCCTCATCTGTAAAATGAGACAACTGGACTTCTAGAAGGATCATCTAAGATCTCTTCTAGGTCCCTTAAATCTACGATTCTCAAATAATCAGGAAAAGGACAAAGCAGACAAAAAGGAAGGGGGGAGCAGAGCTGAGCCTTGGCACAAGGTAGGATTCTGAGGCGTGGAGGTGAGGAGGGAGGGCAGCTTTCCAGACATGAGGGATGGAGGTGGGAGATAAAGGTGTACAAGGGGCACATCACATCATCGACAGAGTCAAACCGTTTTAATTGCTCACATAAACAGGAAGTAACAAGCCACTGTTTGGTTAGAGTGTAGAGTACATGCTGCTGCTCAGTCATTTCAGTCCTGTCTGACTCTTCGTGACCCCACTTGCGGTTTTCTTGGCAGAGATACTGGAGTGGTTGGCCATTTCCTTCTCCAGCTCATTTGACATATAAGGAAACTGAGACAAACAGAGTTAAGTGACTCGCCCAGGGTCATACAGCTAGTGTCTGAGGCCAGATTTTTACTCAAATCTTCCTGACTCCAGGCCTTGTACTCTATTCACTGCACTACCCAGCTGCCCCATATAGCAGGCCACCATATGTAGCATCTACTCCAACATATGCATAAGCTGGAGCAAACCTCTTATTGGCATCCGTGGGATTTGAAAGTGTTAAGAGCAAAGTAGGGGCTGTTTAGGGAGAAGCCCCAGAAGGCTCAGATCCTGTTCTGTGGAGTAGCAGTAGTTATCTGGGAAGGTAACAGTCGGCAGGGTATTGATAAATGTTTAACAACTATCCCAGGGGGTGGGCAGTGGAGGGGGCGGGAATATACACACGACACACTTTCAAGTTTAATCCGCTTTATTCACATTTTCTCCAATTGCTTTCTCAAGTCAAGACAGTCAATAAAACATAAATCAATCCCTAATTTACCCTGTTTGCCGGGTTTCTGAGGTGCGAAAGCTCACATTAAAAATTTAACAAGCAGTTCTCTTGAGGCAGCTTGGATGGGCTCCAGTGCAGCCCTGCACTCACAGCCTGGCTGAGACATCAGAGCACCAGATGGAAAGGATGCTCTCTCTTTAGAATTCTAGCAGGAGCCAAGATGTAGCTGACGGATCCTGAACATCATTCGCTAATGAATACAAGCCAAGCACATGGAGTCCAGCCTCCCAAGCAAGAGCTATTGTTTTCATATTCTTGGAGAGCTGTGAATTCCTCAGGCATGATGGCTGAACTGTCTGGGGCAGGTGTCAGGAACATCACTCCCAGCTGCTTTGCAGTCTGGGATCTCTGGGCACCAGAGAAGTACCCCCTGCTGCCTGTCACATGCAGGGGAACAGCCCAGGAAACTATTCTATGTCAAAAAAAAAAAGCTTTTATTACATGCTTACTATGTGCCATACACTATGTTAAGTGCTGAAAATACAGATAAAAGCAGAAAGTCAGTTCCTGCCCTCAAGGAGCTTACATTCTAATGAGAGAAGACAATATATCAAAGGAAGCTGAAAAGGGGAGGTGGGGAGGGAGAAGGTGGCCTGAGAGGCATGGTAGAGAAAGTCAGAGATTCAGGAGTAGAGCCCAGAGAGTCTTCATTCCCCAGGCCTAGGGAATGTTTGCTTTCTGGAAGCAGCTTAAATGATCATAACGCCTAGCACATAGTAGGTACTTAATAAATGTTTATTGATTGATTGATTGGGCCCAGAAGTAAGACCATCTCTCCCCTTCTATTTCCTGGCATGGCAGAGGTAGGAGCTGGGGGCTGGGGTGTTGCATGGATTTTGTCTTGAAATCTTGGAGTGCACCTACTAGAACTTTTGAAATTGACTTAATAGAAAGTGATCCGGGTGTTCGTGGTACATGAGGGAAAATTGATTAGTCATCTCTAGGATGATTCTGTCCTCAATCCACGGGTGACTATTTACCTTCAGTCAGAGTGAAATGTAAATGGTGCTAGGCTTAGAGTGAGGACGCTTGAATGTAAGCCCTAGTTCTATCTCTTCTAAGCATTTTTACCCCAGAATCTCTACAAGACACTCTTCCCTCTTCTTTACTTTTGCATGTGTTCCCTTGGCATGGGAACTTCTACCAGTCCATCTATTTCTCATTCCTTTAGAGAAGTACCCCTGGTAACGTAGCTAGTAAGAGTCAGAAGTGTCATATGAACCAAAGCCTTCCTGACTCCCAGTTTAACCCTCTAGGCTGGGCCATTCTGCTGTGTATGTGTGTGAGTGTACAGTATATAGATAAAATAATATAGTTTGCTGTAGGGGCTGCATATGGACAAATGACTGACTGTCTGAGGGGAATTGTTAGGAAGGAGAATCCACTCCCAGCCTGAGCAGCCAGCCCCTAGCCCTCCTCCCTATGTCCCAGCAAGCTCTGTCCTCCAAGGAAGAAGATTAAGACGCACTCGATATTTTGGATGGCTCTCTCGGCTGCCCTTGGAATGCTCCCATCCTGCTCCCAGACCATCCCCTTCACAATGTACCCACATAGTAGGGCTTCAATAGATATTTGGTGTAAGGTGGTTTAGCTAGGTGTTAAAATGGGATAGAGAGCTGATCTGGAGTTAGGAAGACCTAAGTTCAAATCTAGCCTCAGACACCTGTGTGTCCCTGGACAAGTCACTTAACCTCTGTCAACCTCAATTTCTTCATAATAGGGAAAATAACAGGACCTACCTCCAGAGTTGTTGGAATAAAATAAGTAAATGCTTATAAAGTGCTTTGCGGACCTTAAAGCACTATATAAATATTATTGTTGTTGTTGTTGTTGTGAACCAATATGGTTTAATGGACAAGGTGTTGGATTTGGAAAGAGAAAGTAATGGGTCTCAATCCCCATTCTGTTTATTAACCATATGACCTTAAATAAATTATTTTCCTTCTCTGGGTCTCAGTTTCTTCTTCTGTAATGGACATGACAATACTTACAAGGATGTTATGCTGAAAGAACTTTGTAAACCTTTAAAATGTAATATAAATGTGAGTTATTAGTGTTAAATGAATGAGTGAGGATTTCCTCTTAGAGTGAGGGGGGAGACTGGTAGGTGAAGCCTATCTGGCCCTTTCTTACCTTCCAATAAGTTTAACAATTAGGCAACTGCAGAGAGACAGCCTGGGGTGGTAGATGAAGAGCTGTCTTGGGAATTCGAGAGATCTGCCTCTGATTCACAGACATTATGTGGACAATCAAAGGTCTCAACCTCTAGGTCAGTGCTTCCTAGGCAACTCTGCATTGGCAGAAGGCGTTTCCTCACTAAGAGCTTTCCACACCAAGAAAATCACAGACACTCACACACACACACACACACACACTGGACAATGTGCAATGAAGGTATAGGCACTGGAGGTATAAAGACAAACTCTGCCCTCAAGGAGCTTACATTCCAGTGTGTGTGTGTGTGTGTGTGTGTGTGTGTGTCTACAACACATACATAAATAACTATAGCAGTACAAGGAAAATTGAGGAAGGAGATAGCACTATGGGAAATTAGAGTTAAATGTCCATTTAGCCTATGGGTACGTGGGGATCTAAGAGCAGCATCCATGTCTGCCTGCCTTGAAGAAGAGCTGGGACAATTTCCTAATACCCTACAGATGTCTGTTCAGGCACTGTGTGTGACACAGTGGACAGCATGTTGAATTGGCAGTTAGAGGACCTAGATTCAAATCCCACCTAGGGTGAGTACTAGCTATATGATCTCGGACAAATCATTGAAGAGGCAGCTAAGTGGTTCCATGAATAGAGCCTGGAGCTGGAGCCAGCAAGATCCAGGTTCAAATCCAGCCTCAGACACTTACTACCGGTATGAGTCTAAGCAAGTCGCTTAACCTCTGCTGCCTCACTTTCCTCACCAGTAAAATGAATATCATGACAGCATCTACCTCCCCAGGTTGTTACGAATCTCAAATGAGATAATGGTTGTAAAGTGCTTAGCCCAGTGCCTGGCACAGAGTAGGAGCTTATTAAGTCTTTCTGTCCTTCTTTCATTTAACCTCTCTGAGGCCCTCAGTTTCCTCATCTGTAAAATGAGGGTGTTGGACCAGATGACCCTTGAGGTCCCCTCCAGTTCTGAATCCAGGATCCTATTATCCATCCTGGAGTCTTTTGCACTTGACTGTGCAAAAGGTGCCCAAGTCTTATGGAGCCAGACGCATTCACTACCCCAAGAGGAGCTCAAGAGGGACGGATGTGGGATTCCATCTGCGTCAGTTTCAATAACCAAAGCTACCCTCCTCCTCTCTCGGACAGCTATAATGTAATTTTCTCCTCATCTTTCCTGTAGCATTGTCTAGTACCTGCCTTCTTGGAAGGAAGCAGAAGGAAGCAGCAAGTGAAACATTATGACGATTGGCAACAAACGGGCACCATGGAACACGGGTAAACGTCCCAGTCTCCAGTGAGGCTAAGCATGGCAGCCAGAGGGGGCCTGGTTGGTTTTGTATCTTTTATATGGTGCGATCACAAAGAC